ATTGGATGTGGAGATTTGGGTAGTGAACTAGTAGATAGAAGATCTCTCTATTTTCCCTTCTGTGATACCTGCTTTTCAAACAAAAACAATCTTTAAAAGAAAGAATTAGTATTTAAAGGCAAATGTGGGGGCCCCCTGAGGTTTATGAGAACAATGCCGAGGGATCTAAACTTGCTAGACAAGAAGGAGCTAGAATGCTTATCTACACTGCTTCTACTCACCCCAGGCACACAACTCCAGGATCTCCAGAAACTGGGCCTGGGACTTGAGGGTATAAGTCGCAGAGTTCAATGTCACAGCCACCTCTGGAGAATCTGTCTTCCAGAGTGAAAGAGCACAGCTGTAGACGACTAATGCTCACCTATAGAACATCTGCATGTGGGCAGCTGGCCACATGCAAACAGCCAGGTCACCCCTGGGTTTCCTGTCCTGTCCAGGCCATCCACTAAAGTGCCTCTCAGTGGCTTCCTTTCTGACACCAGTTAACATAGCTGAGATGCCACCAGCCAGCTGGGGTCAGCACCTCTCCTTGGAGAGTTGCCTACTCTTCTCCCAGGCCATTTGCTTTTCCTTTTTATTTTATTTTAGATGTTTTTAGATTTATGTATTGATTTATTTGAATGGCAGAGCTACAGAGAAGGAGAGGCAAGAGAGGGGGAGAGAGAAAGAGTATGAGAGAATCTTCCATGTATTGGTTCATTCCTCAAATAGCTGCAACAGCCAGAGCTAGTCCAGGCAAAAGCCAGGAACCAGGAGCTTCTTCTGGAACTCCAACATGGGTGCAGGGGCCCAAGGACTTGGGCCATCCTCCACTGCCTTCCCAACAAACCATTAGCAGGGAGCTGGATGGGAAGCAGACAGCTGGGACTATAACCAGTGGCCATATGGGATGTCAATGTTGTAAGCAAAAGCGTATCACACAACTCTGGCCCCTTGGAAACCTTTTAACCTTTGTTAAACCTTTGTGCACATCCCCTCACCCTGGGGTCCTCACCCCATTGGACCGTACTCTAGGCTCGGAATTCCCTCTGGGCCCATGTTTGCATCTCAGACACCACACTGAGACTTTGGGCAGTGGACAGGCGCTGTTTAACCTGTTCTGAGCTCTGGGGTCCAGCTGCTGCCTGAGCAGACACAAAGAGGGCCCTTTGCGTCTCCAGGTCAAATACAAAATTCTGGTCACTGTAGAGTAACCTTGTGCAGAGTGAAAAATATTACTCTCTATCCAGTTACGCCTGAAACAGACATGAAAGAAATAGAAACAGCCTTAAATGCCACCTATGCTGAATATATTAGGGATAAATCAAATGTGAAGTTTCTGAAACTTAATCCCCCAATAACTTTTCTGTCTCCTGAAAGTAACCATTTTGCACCACATGCTCTGGGTTTTGCTCCCCCCCCACACACACACACACCTTTTCTTTATAATCATCTTGGGGATTCTTTATTTCAAATCACAGCTGTTCCTCAGCGTATCTTGGGGAACTAATTCCAGGGAACCCGCCCTCCCCCAAGTACAGTGAAATCCTCCAATGCTGTGGTATGCCCAACACTCCTCTAGCACCCTTTACACTGTCTCTGGGTTCCGTAGAGCCAGAATGCAATGTCAGCACTACACAATCACCGTACTGTTCAGGGAAGGAGGAAAAAGCAGGCAACATCCGCATTTGTTGGGGACAGGTGCAATCTCTCCACAACTAACATTGCTGCTGTGCACTTGGTTGGGTTCGTGAATGCGAAACCCTTGGGCAGGGAAGGCTGCTGCATCTGCATTTCTCTCTAGCTGGGAGCTCCAGAGACTATCGCTGTGTCAAAAGTGGGCTAACCTGCCTTGTACAAATCTGCAGGACGCCTCCCAGGGGCGCACAGCACTGGTTGCCTTCCCTGCAGCTGAGTGTCCATTTGGTTGTCTTTGTTTTTGCATTTGTTTTTCATGCTCATGGGTCTGCCTTCCTTTTCAGCTCTTCTTGCAAGCCAAAGAGCCTATCTGTCCTTTGGTTCAGACCATTTCTCCCCTGGATGTATCTGCCTGGGTGTTGAGTCAGAGGAGTCATGGTGAGTTTGGAGCAAGGGTTTGTCCAGCTACTTTGCAGAGCTCTGGCGCATCTGCAGGCTTCCTTGTGGGATGCTGAGGATCCTTGAGTTGCGATAGTAGGAGCAGCAGTCCCAGACTCTTCCATCCAAATCCCAAGCCCAAATCAAGCTTGCTGAATTTTTGTGTCATATCACATCCTTTATGATGCTGGCCGGATAAAGGATTTCTCACCTAAAACATTCTCAAGCCCGTCAGTTAACTTATCAATCCAAAACTGCACCATTTATCCATTTTTTGGGTTGCATTTAGTCTTACTACAAATATATTGGGGCCAACACCATAGCATTGTAGGTTAAGCTTCTGCCTGCAGTGATGGAATTCCATATGGGCACCAATTTATGGCCTGGATGCTCCACTTCCAATCCAGCTTCCTGCTAATTTGCCTGGGAAATTCAAGGAAGATGGCTCAAGTCCTTGGGTGCCTGACCCATGTGGGATACCCAGAAGAAGCTCTTGTCCCCAACCATAGATATTAATCCTCAGATTGGCTCAGCTCTAGCCATTGCTGTCACTTGTGGAGTAAACCAATGGATGGCAGAACTCTCTCTTTATCTCTCCTTTCTGTAACACTACCTTTCAAATTAAAAAATTAAAGCTTTGGGCCCGGCGCGGTGGCACAAGTGGTTAAAGGTCCTCGCCTTGCACACCCCGGGATCCCATATGGGTGCTGGTTCTAATCCCGGCAGCCCCGCTTCCCTTCCAGCTCCCTGCCTGTGGCCTGGGAAAGCAGTCGAGGACGGCCCAAAGCTTTGGGACCCTGCACCCACGTGGGAGACCCAGAAGAGGCTCCTGGCTTCGGACCGGCATAGTATCGACCCGTTGCGCTCACTTGGGGAGTGAATCATCGGACGGAAGATCTTCCTCTCTGTCTCTCCTCCTCTCTGTATATCTGCCTTTCCAATAAAAAAATAATAAAAATAAATCTTTTAAAAAAATTAAAGCTTCAAAAGACAAAAGAAAACAAACAAAAAATAAACCCAAATATGCTGCAGTGAAATTTCCAAACACATACACACCAAAAAAAAAAAAAAAAAACCCTCTTCTTGAGCTTTCTGGTATACAGTGGCAAGAAGTATTCTAGAGTAAGTATTCAATAATGGTCCTGTAGGATTATTTATTATGTATCAGTCATTGTGTTCAGTTGCAATAGTATTAAGTATCATGGAATGGGAACTCAAACATAGAAAAAAAATTTTATAGGATTTATTTGTTTATTTATTCATTCATGTATTTTTATTGGAAAGGTAAATTTACAGAGAGGAGGGACAGAAAGGTCTTCCATCTGCTGGTTCTCTCCTCCAAGTGAATGCAACAGCTACAGCTTAACAAATCCAAAGCCAGGAGCCTCTTCCTGGTCTTCCATACAGGTGCAGGGTCCCAAGGCTTTGGGTCATCCTCTACTGTTTTCCCAGGCCATAAGCAGGGAGCTGAATGGGAAGCAGAGTATCCAGGACACAAACAGGTATTCATGTGGAATCCTAGCATGTGCAAAGCAAGGATTTAGCCATTGAACCATCATGCTGGGCCCCAACCATAGATATTAACCTTAGAATAATAGGGAGAGATCCACTGAGGTGGTTGAGAAGCTGTAGACAAGGCAAGTCAGAGAGAAATTCTCCACAAGCAGGTGTACAGTGGGTTCTTTCAGCTGCTCAAACCCTACTGTGAGTCACAACTGGCTAGCACATGAGACCTGGATACCAAATAACACAGGAGGGTGTAGACCAGTCACACACATGCATAGCTATGAGTGCCTGGTGGTACAAGCACCTAGTCCACTGCAGTGGCTGAGAGACTGTGGACAGGGAGAGTCAGAGAGGAACTCTCCTTAAGCAGGCACGCAGTGGATGTCCCTGTGCTTCAGCAGCATCTCTGATTCCAGACACCTCAGAAAACACCAGCAAAACACCAAAGACGGAATACCCACAGGCTATGCACATGACAAACAGGAATGAGAAAGACCACACATCTAAAAGGCCATGGGGAAGGGCAACAGAAAACAGGAAGCAACATAAATGAGGAAACCAATGCTTCCCTCAAAAATGAACAAAAGGTCATATCAATCTTAGAGCTCCAGGATGAAGACATTGATAGGTTGATAGGGAATACAAGAAAAATCATTATAAAACTCTTCAGAGGCAGTGAGAAATGATGGAAAGTATTCAAGGAATTTAAGGAATCATCACAGATAGAATCTATAAAACAGGTCCAAACTGAAATACTTGAGCTAAAGAACACAATAAAAAGCCTCAGCAATAGAATAGATGCTGCAGAAGAAGAAAAAATATCAGAATTTGAAGATAACCAATTTGAGAACACACAATTAATTAGACATTTGGAAGAGAATCTGAATAAAGCCAAGAAATACATCCAAGAACTGAATGACAACATAAAAAAATTGAATATCAGAATGAGAGGAATTCCTGAAGGTGAGGAAAGAGGCAGGATTGTCCAAAAATTCAATAAAATTATAAAAAGAGGACTTCCAAACATTGGAAACATAAGAGGAAGCCAAATACAGGAAAGGCAGAGAACCCCAAACAGATTTGATCCAAAAAGGCCCTCACCCAGACACATCATTGTCAAGTTCCTCTCGACTGAACATAAAGAAAAAATACTGAACCAAGCATTGAAAAAAGGATCAGATAACACATAGAGGAAACCAAAGACACCAACTGCTGACTTATCAGAAGAGACCCTTCAAGCAAGAAGAAGATAGAGCAACATTTTTCATATCCTGAAACAGAAAAACTGTCAACCCAGAATAATATATCCAGCAAAGCTCTCTTTTGTGTTTGAAAATAAAATGTTTCCACAGTAAAAAGAAATTTGAATATGCCAACACTAAGCCAATCCTAGAAACACTACTCAAAAACATGCTAAAGACAGAAAGAAAGGAAGTTAACCATAATCAGCTATGGCAAAGGGGAAGATCCTCCCATTAAAACCCACAAAAGAAACCAAAGTTAAACAGAGCTTTCAACACACACACACACACACACACACACACCAGGACTAAATCACATCCCATCAATATGAACTCTGAACACAAATGGCCTAAACTTATCAAGCTTAGATGGCCTAACTTATCAACTTAGATGAACAGAATGGATCAAAAAGCAGGACCAATATGTCTGTTACCTACAAGAGACACATCTAATCAACAAAGATACATGGATGCTGAGAGTGAAAGGATGAAAAGAACATTTCATGCCAATGGAAAAGAAAAAAGAGCCGTTGTAGCCATTCAACTATCAGAAGAGATAGACTTCACTGTGAAAACATTAAAAGAGATAAGAGGGACACTACATAATGGTAAAGGAAACCATCCACCAATAAGAAATAACAATGATAAATGTATACACGTCAAATACAAGAGCACCTACCTACATGAAACAATTATTGACAGACGTAAGGGGAGTTATAGATGCCAATGGAATAACATTGGGGGACAACAACATCCCATTAACATCAATAGATTGATGAGACAGAAACTCAGCAAGGAAACAGCAGATCTCACACACAGACAATAGAACAAGTAGACTTAATAGATATGTACAAAACCTTCTATATCACGGTCACTGAATATACATTTTTTTTCAGCTGCACATGGAAATTTCTCCAGGATCAACCATATAACAGGTCACAAAATAAGCCTCACCAGCTTAAAAAAAAATACTGAAATTATACCATGTATTTTCTCAGACCACCAAAGAATAAAGCTAGAGATCAATAAATTGTATTGGAAGCTGAACAACATTCTACTGAATGAAGAATGTGTTAGGAAAGAAGTTAAAGAAGCAAATTAAACATGCCTTAAAACTAATGAAAACTGAGACACAGCATACCAAAACCTGTGGAACACTGCCAGGGCCATGTTAAGAGGTAAATTTATTGCAATTGGTGGCTACATTAGGAAATAAGAAAGGCACCAGGTTAATGAGCTAAGTATACACCTGAAGGAACTAGAAAAACAATAGCAAGATAATTCTAAGAAAAACAGGAAAAAAAATAAGAAATAAACAAAATAGAGACCAAAAGAACAATACACAAAATCAATGCATCAAAGAGTTGGTTCCTCAAGAAAATAAACAGAATAGACATACCCACTGGCCCAAATGACACACAAAAAAAGTGGGAGAAGACAAGAATTAATAGTATCAAAGATGAAAAAGGGAACATAACAAAATACCTCAGCTATACAGGGAATAGTAAGAAATTACTACAAGTAATTGTATGCCAACAAATCAGAACTTCCAAGAAATGGATAAGTTCCTGGACTCATACCATCTACCAAAACTAAGTCATGAAGTAACAGAAAATCTGAATAAACCTATAACTGAGACAGAGACCAAATCATAACTAAAACCCTCCCAACAAAGAGAAGCCAAGGCCCACATGGCTTCATTGCTGAATTCTACAAAGCCTTCCAAGTAGAACTGACCCCAATTCTTCATAAATTTCAACACAATAGAAAGGGAGGCAATCCTTCCAAACTCTTTCTATGAGGCCAGCATCACCTTAATACCAAAATGAGACAGAAACACAACAGAGAAACAAAAGCTATAGACCAATATCCCTGATGAACATCGACACTAAAATCTTCAACGAAAGACTAGCCAACAGAATACAAAAATACAGGGTCCAGCACTGTAGTCTAGCGGCTGAAGTCCTTGCCTTGCCCGTGCCAGGATTCAAATAGGCACCAGTTCTAATCCCTGTGGCCCCACTTCCAGTCCAGCTCCCTGCTTGTAGCCTGGGAAAGCAGTTGAGGATGGCCGAAAGCCTTGGAACCCTGCACCTGCATGGGAGACCCAGAAAAGGCTCCTGGCTCCTGGTTTTGGACCAACACAGCTCCAGCCATTGAGGCTGCTTGAGGAGTGACTCAACGGATGGAAGATCTTCCTCTCTGTCTCTCCTCTCTGTATATCCGCCTTTCCAATAAAAAAATAAAATAAAATAAATAATAAAAATAAATCTTTAAAAAAATTTAAAAAAAAAAAAGTATGTAACCAACCTCTTAATGTTGTTTCTGATTCGGCTTATGTAGTTGGTCTATTTCCAGCTATTGCAACTACTATAATATCTTTTAACAATACCTGTATTTCTCATTTACTTTTACAATTGCAACAGCTGCTATGCCAGCGCAACTCACCGTTCTTCATTATTCCTCAGGGAACTGCTCGTAACATTTTAGCAACTTCTCCTGTTTGTGCCCTTTAACATTGTACTTCTCACCCTGCAGGTGCAAATCCTCAAGGGCTAAGTTCCAATCAATTATGGCAAATAGATGTTACTCATATACCATTCTTTCCAAAACAACCATTCTTACATGTAGTTGTAGATACCTTTTCTAAGTTTCTTTGGGCACAACCTATGAGTTCTGAAACTACTTCTGCTGCTAAATCCTTTTTGCTCACATGCTTCTCAATCATGGGAATTCCCTCTTCCATCAAAACAGACAATGGACCTGCATATACTAGTAAAAGTTTCAAAGCATTTTGTTTAGAGTGGTCCATCCAACGTGTTACAGGTATTCCCTATAATCCTCAAGGTCAAGCCATTATTGAACGTGCACACCTCACCCTTAAAAGTCAATTACTAAAAAACAAAAAAGGGGGGCTGTCACCCAGAGATACTCTGTCTCTAACACTTTTAACACTTAATTTTTTAAATTTGCCTCAAGGAGACATTAATACTCCTGCTGACAAACATTTTTCTACATTCTCTGATAAGAGTCTACAAATCCCTGTATGGGTAAAACAACTGAATAATTGGTATTCTGGAACAATAATAACCCGTGGCAAAGGTTATGCTCTTGTTTCCTTAGAATCTCCTGACGGATCCTCTGAAAAACTGTGGGTTCCCTTACGGCTCATCCGGCCTCGGAGATGCAGCAGCAACACCCTTGAACACAACGCTGCCCCAGGAGAAGACAGAACCCCCAGTGGAACTGCCGCGAATAACTGAAAAGCTAAAATTGTTTAATATCCCTCTTGTCCCACTACAGGTCAGGCGTGCAGAGAAATTCTCCACCTTCTTAGAATGTTTGAGGAAGACTTTAAGTGTAACCTATTATTTACAAAGTTCTTAATGACCTTAAACATTAGTAAAAACACAGAAATTTGCAGTGGGATCGAAGGGTGACCCTGACATCCTTTTAAAGGAGGTTGTGTGTTCAGAGCAGGGGGCGGATTTCAGGGTGGAGCAGGAGGATAAGAGGCGCCCTCTAACATAGTCCCAAAGACCCCCGGAGGTCTCCCATGTGCTTTCACTGCAGAAGCAGTGGATGCCTGCCTCATCAAGGAGGACCATATCCCGACTGCCAAGGGGATTACAAGGAAGGTGAGAGCCCTTGGAGGCCGAGAACTCTGAGGTCAGTCCTTTCCTAGTGAATTTCACACACGGGATGGAAGCAGCCCAGTTCCCTCGTGATAGGGTCTGGTGACATTGGAACTTCAGCCAGGAGCCCCGGGTGGCACTCAGAGACCAGTGGACTCAGAGGAGGAGCTTTCTCTAGTTCCGACCTAACTCCAGCCTTGGCTCCCAGCCCTCTCTCACACCAACCATCAGGGTTGCTTGTGAGCCCCAAAATTATTTTGGATAAAGACTAATAGGATGTGCAGTTAAATTCTTCCTCATTCACTAGGTTGTTGAAGATTTCCCTGCTCACCTGCCTAACGCTTTTCTGTGATTTGGTAGAATCACAAAACTGTTTCGATTATCCTAAATGCATAGAAATCTGTAAAATCACACTTTTGAATTATATAAATGGCAAGGTTTAAATTGTAAGTTGAGATTCTCCCCAAAGCTTTCATCAACTGTTAATACTAACTGTATAGAAACTATGATGTTAAGTTTATACTCAGCTGTTACATATGATGGATGTTAACTGTTCACTGTTCCTGTGCAACTCTGATTTATGTTAGCTTGGGAGAAATTATAGCTGTTATTTTTCTACCTCCTACCAGGGACCCCAGATGCACTCCCTGGAGAATGCCTGGCTGCTGTGGCTCCCTCTCTCAGTCCCCTCTCAGCATGAAGAAGTCAGAGCGGTCGTTGCCCATATTCCTGACAGCAGCCAGGGTTCATTCTCCTGGAAAAAGGATGTTGAGGAGCTAGATGGGATGATAGGCAGTTAGGGTGTGTGGTCCCTGGTGGAGTCATCGTTTTATGATATGTAATATTTCTCCCCATGCTTCTGCCCTTCCAAGAACATGTTCCCCCAACTGCAGCTTTCAGGCATAATTTTATAAAACACAGAAGGGGGATTTGTAGGAGTACATTGTGTCCCTGGAAGGCCAGCAGCACAGGATTGCAGTTCATTGGGCAGTATTTGTATGAAAACAACCAAATGTCTACCTTTTGTATACCTGTTGGGAGGTAGTTCCCAGGGTCGAGTAAACAGCATGTAAATGAGAACACCTAGCGCGATACACAAGACAAAAGGAATTCCAATCTAGAGTGTGGGGGAAAACAGTTGATGATTTTGTTTATGAGCTCGATACTTCCTCCCCTACCCCATACAGACTTTCATAGTATAAAGTCTGATGCCGCTAATAAACTTTGGCTTTTGACCATCAAAAAAAACAAAACAAAACAAAGCATACGCAAATCTATAAATGTGATACATCACATCAAGAAACTGAAGAACAAAAATATGATGGTCTCTATAGATACAGAGAAAGCATGACAAAAGCCAACACCACTTCATTCTAAAAACTAAGATAGGCATAAAAAGAACATTCCAAAACATAGTCAAAGCAATTATGAAAAACCCAATGGCAGCATCATACTGAATGGGGAAGGATTGGAAGCTTTCTCACTAAGGTCTGGAATTAGACAAGGATGTCCACTATCACCACTGCTATTTAACGAGCACTATCAGGCAAGAAAAAGAAATTAAAGGAATTCAAATTGGAAGAGAGGAAGTCAAATTATCTCTGCAGATAACATGATTCTATACATTGGAGAATAAAAAGAATAAAGAAACTGCTGGAACTTATAAGAGAGTTTGGTAAGGTAGCAGGGTACAAAATAAATGAATGCAAATCAACTGCCCTAGTGTATATAACCAACTCCAAGGCTGAAAAAGAACTAATCAATGTGGTACCCTTCAAAATAACAGAGAGGATACTGAAATACCATGGGATAAACCTAACTAAAGATGTGGGAGATCTCTATCAAGAAAATTACAAAACATTGAAAAAGAAATAGAAGACTAAAAAGTGGGAAAATATACCATGTTTGTGGACGGGCAGAGTCGATATCACACAAAAAAATGTGCATATTACCAAAAGTAATATACAAATTCAGCACAATTCCAATCAAAATATCAGGAACATTCTTCACAGAGCTGGAAAAAATGATACGAAAGTTCATCTCGGGCCCAGCATGGTGGCACAAGTGGTTAAGTCCTCGCCTTGCACACCCCGGGATCCCATATGGGCGCTGGTTCTAATCCTGGCAGCCCCGCTTCCCTTCCAGCTCCCTGCCTGTGGCCCAGGAAAGCAGTCGAGGACAGCCCAAAGCTTTGGGACCCTGCACCCACGTGGGAGACCCGGAAGAGGCTCCTGGCTTCGGATCAGCATAGTATCGGCCATTGCGCTCACTTGGGGAGTGAATCATCGGACGGAAGATCTTCCTCTCTGTCTCTCCTCCTCTCTGTATATCCGCCTTTCCAATGAAAAAATAATAAAAAATAAATCTTTAAAAAAAAAGTTCATCTGGAAATGCAAGAGACCATGAATAGTCAAAACTATCCCGAAGAATAAGAATTCAGCTGGAGTCATCACAATCCCAGACCTTATGACATATTATAGGGCAGTAGTAATTAAAACAGAAACAGAAAGGAAAAATCAATGGAACAGAATAGAAACATCAGAACAGAGTCCACACACGCACAGCCATCTAATCTTCGACAAGAGAATAGAAAATAACCCAGAAAATAAGGTCTCGTTAATGAATGCTGTTGGGACAACTGGATAGCAGCCTGCAGAAGAAACAAGACCCTCATCTTTCACCATGTACAAAGGTTAAGTCTAAACGGATAAAGGGTCTAAACCTACACCCAGAAACCATCAAGCTATTAGAAGAAAATGTAGGAAATACTCCACAAGATATAGGTGCAGGCAAAGACTTCCTAGAAAAATCATCAGAAGCACAGTCAAGACCAAAATAAACAAACGGGGCTACATTAAACTAAGACGCTTCTACACAGCAAAGGGAACAATTAATAAAGTAAAACAGCAACCAACAGAGGGGTAATATCCAGAATATACAAAGAACTCCAGAAACAACATAACAACAAAGCAAACAAACCAGTCAAGAAATGGGTGAAGGAAATGAGCAGACGCTTTTCAAAGGAACAAATCCAAATGGCTAACAGACATATGAAAGAAAAATGCTCAAGCTCTCTAGCAATAAGAGAAATTCACATAAAAATAACACTGAAGTTCCACTTAACTCCAATGAGAATGGCCCACATACAGAAAACTACCAACAGCACCTGCTGCTGAGGATGTGGGAAAAAGGAACCCTATTCCACCGCTGGTGGGGTTGCAGGCTGGTGCTGCCACTGTGGAAATGGGTATGAAGAATACTCAGACAACTGAAAATTCACCTGCCATATGACCCAGCAATCCCACTCCTGGGAATATGTCCAAAAGCTCTGATACATACACACGAGAAAGCAACTTGCACCTTTGTATTCATTGCAGCACAATCAACAATCACAAAAATATGGAAACAACCTAGATGCCCATTGAAAGAGGACTGGATAAAGAAACTGTGGTGTATCTACTCTACAGAATGCTACTCAGCTATTTAAAAGAATGAAATTTCTATCATTTGCATCCAAATGGGTCCAACTGGAGACCATTATGTTAAACGAAATGAGCCAATCCCAAAAGGACAAATATCATATGTTTGCTCTAATGTAAGACAATTTCCATGGAAAATACAAAACCAAATAATACAGGTGAATGAATATATACTTATAACCTCATAAACAAAGGATGTAATGGAGACCAGAGTACAAGGAATCAAGGAAAATCTACAGAATGCATCTCTAGTAAGGAATGAAGGTAGATTTCCAAGGAAACTTCTAAATATATCTGGGCAACAAAAAATTAGAATCTCTGTAATTGTGTATGCCAAGAGTGTCATGACTCATGTAAAGAAGAGAAATTCGGAGTCATTTTCTTTCATCTCTAATTTTAAGTGATTGTCCCCTCATGATGCTCTTTGTTAATATGGCTGAGGGTTGTTTTTCTCATCTTAGAGAATGGCTCATTCTTGCGTCAATTTATAGGTTTTTGGTTTCAAATCCAATGATTTTTGCTGTGAAATTTACCTTGTCTCACTTCCTTCATTTTTGTCTTTTGATAATACATCCTTATGATTCATTAATAGATTATTTATGAGACATTTTGATTGTAAGTGTCTGGTGTTGTAAATGTCTCTTTCAACACTGTTTTTGCTACATCTCATAGACATTAATATTCTTGTTTTATTTATTAAATTTTAAATTTATATCTTTTTATTTTATCTTTTTTTAAAGATTTTTTTTTTTTTATTAGAAAGGCGGATATACAGAGAGGAGGAGAGACAGAGAGGAAGATCTTCCATCCGATGATTCACTCCCCAAGTGAGCACAGCAGCCAATGCTATGCCGATCCAAAGCCAGGAGCCTCTTCCGGGTCTCCCACGTGGGTGCAGGGTCCCAAAGCTTTGGGCCGTCCTCGACTGCTTTCCTGGGCCACAGGCAGGGAGCTGGAAGGGAAGCGGGGCTGCCGGGGATTAGAACCAGCACCCATATGGGATCCCAGGGTGTGCAAGGCGAGGACCTTAACCACTGCACCACCGCGCCAGGCCCTTTTATCTTTTAAAAGAGGGTTTTTTTCTTTCCCTTATTGATTTCTTCAGCACCATATGGGTCATGAAGTAGCATCAATTTCTACAAGAAGTTTTTCTATTTTTGTCATCACTTTAGCATCACATTGGTAATTCTGTAGCATATTGTTTAGCTCCATATTGATGTAAATTTTCTGTTTTTCTCCCTGTTGTGGACTGCGTTTTCTGGCTCTGTATTTAAGGGGATGGATAACAGAAGTATTGTGGAGACTGACAGGTCCAGATGTGGAAACATACTGCAGTACGCATCTCTGCATCCAGATCAAAGATGGACTCCCAGTGAAACAGCTGAAGATGTCTTGACAGTAGGAATCTGGACCCTCTGACATTGTTCATGCCTACAATGTCAGGAAATGCTTCAATAGAGAAAAGAGAAGTTTGTGGGAAGCCAAGCATGTCCAACTCCGTGTGTGAGCTGGAAAAACCTGAGGATTTCCCTCCTGGGGCATGGTTACCCCAAGCAACCTCTGATCCCAGGTGTGTTTGTGTGTGTGGAGGGGTGGTTCTTGATCCCCTAGATCGAGCAGTGCATCCTCCAGCAGACACCTGTTGGGACCCCTCTGAGTCCTTTCTCTGATGCTGCCCCACAGATAGGAGGGTCAGAATCAGTCCCGGAGACATCAGAGGAAGGCGCTCTGCTGCCTAACACAGTAGAAGGTATTGCAGGGCAGGCCAGGGAGCCACAAGAGACATCCACCCACCCGTGAGGGTTCTGCCTCTTACTGCCACTTGCTGTTGTCACAACAGCCATAACATTTCAGCATGAGTGTTGGAGGAGCTGTTCAGTTTTGCTGGAAGTTGGCATTCCCTGCCTGGAGATGGCAATGTCTTCCTCCAGGCTAAAACAAGTAATAACAAAAATGCACCTGTTCCCATAGGATACCACATCCTGAGAAGAACCACAAGAGCTATTGCAAATAAACCTTTTGTGATCATCTTCTAGGTTTTCTGCTTGAATTCTGGTCTTTGCAGCTAGGGCTCCCTGTGTGTTTCCCTCTATAAGCAAGACTGACAGGTGTCTGAGAAGAAGCAGAGGAGTCTCAGAGCAGCACCTGTGGGATTGAGGCTGGGATTACATCACCTGCCATTCATGAAAACCTGGACTTCGCGGTCCCAAAACCTGGGACCCGTTCTGACCCTGAACTGGCCCCAGCTGCTGCACGTTCTGTCGCTCCTAGACACCTATTCTCAGACTCAGAGAACTGAAGTCTTACACCCATCACCAACAAGGTTCCATCGGACACTTGTTGGGCACTACTCCCTGAGTGCCACTTCGTTTTGCCAGTTTGCCTGGTGCCAGCACTACCAAGAGCCCAAAGGCCTATCTGGTTTCTCCTTCCCTCCCGCCCAAGCAGCTGATTGTTTCTGCCAAACCCAAGTTTGAACTGTCAGGCATTTGCCTGACGGTTAACACAGCAACCGAGACACCCATGTCTGGTATCAGAGCACCAGGGCTTCAGTCCCAGCTCCAGGGAACCAGTCACAGTGTCTGGCTGGTATAGCCCCTGGGAGGGAGTAGGTGAGGACTCCAGTGGTCAAGTTCCCGCTATCCAGGCAAAGAGACCTAGGTTAAACTCCTGGCTCCCAGCTCTGACTGCAGGGTAGCCCCAGCCACTATTGTGTTGAAGGAGTGTCTGTGTTTTTCTTGAACAAGTTTTTAAATTAACATACAAGTTCTTTAAACCTATGTAGATGGAGAGGGCTGCTGCTTTGTAGACCAATCACAGGACTGGATTCTCTGCACACCCTGGATGCGTTCTGTCCTTTACACCCCGGGGGACAGATCCGCCCCTCCCCCCATGGATTTTGCCACCTATTCAATGGGGACTGCAGTTTCTTAAGCTATAGTGTGCCGAAAACTATGTACCCTGGATTTGCATCACTCCAGGCAAGACTTGTCTCCCTTCCTGGTAACTGTGTCTGCATCCTGCCAACGTTCCAGCGAGGGCTTGAGTGGTCATTCCTCACCCATGGGTTTTTCTGCTCTTAGGATCACCAGCCCCTTTGAGATCTTCATGAAGGACACAGACCCTCAACCTCCAGTCTGGCAGCACGCTCCGCTTTCGATGATGTACATTTACGGTTAAGTCAAGTAACATCAAACAAAACTTAAAAAGCCCTTGGCCACACTAGCTAGACTTCAGGTGGTCCCAGGCCCATGTGGCTAGTGTCTGCTCTATCAAGGAAAGCAGATCCAGAACATTTTTAACATAGAAAGTTCCATTGGACAGCACTGTCCTTGCTCTCCCTCATCCAACTAATGCAGCGATGTGCTCACATAAAAAAAAAATTGTAGGAAAGGATGTTTGGCATTGCAGTAAAGATGCTGTTGGCAAGACCTGCATTCCCATGTCAGGGTGCTTGGATTGGCATGCTCTGTCTCCAATTCAAGTAGGAGGCTGTGAGTGGAGGCTCCCTGCCAGCCACCCCCAGGGGAGAGGTGGAATGAGCTCCTAGCTTCTGGCTTCAACCCCAGCTGTTGTAGGCATTTGAGGAGTGAACCAGTGTAAAATGAGATCTTTCTCTTTCCAATAAATAAGTAAACTTTAAAAAATAAAAAGTTGGGCCCGGCATGATAGCAGTTGGGCCCGGCATGATAGCGTAGTGGTCAACATGCCGGACCCTATATGGGTACCGGTTCTAATCCCGGCAGCCCTGCTTCCCATCCAGCTCCCTGCCTGTGGCCTGGGAAGGCAGTCAAGGACAGCCCAAAGACTTGGGACCTGGCACCCACTTGGGAGACGTGGAAGAAATTCCTGGATCCTGGCTACAGATTGACTCAGTTTCGGCCATTGCGGCTGCTTGGGGAGTGAGCCATCAGACGAAAGATCTTCCTCTCTGTCTCTCCTCCTCTCTGTATATCTGACTTTCCAATAAAAGTAAATAAATCTTAAAAAAAATTGTAAATTGCAGTAAATGATTCTAAGACCCTCCTAGTCCATACTCCCCCCTTACCCACAGGGTACTAGGCATCCTCTTGAATGTGGATGAGGTGTCCCAGGTTATCCTGGACTCTGCAGAGATGGTAGGACCAGGCTGATCTCAGGACAGACACACCAAGTCGGCAGCACCTGTGAGCCCCAGGAGGCCAGGAAGCCTGGCCTCGCATCCGAGGGGCCCACTCACCCTGTGAACTCCTTCATTCCTGCACTTGCTCGGGCTCGGTGCTCACACCAGTGGGGACACGAAGCTCCAAGAGTGGGCAAGATTGCGAGGCCTCCTCTCCTCTCCTCGTCAGGTTCTTGTGGGAGAGAAAGGATCCTCCAGCCTCCTCCAGCCGCCAGGTTCTGCCACTTTAATTTTCTCCCATAAATTTCACGTGTCTCTCTTGAGCCAGAACAGGAGTTGATTGAAATCACCTGTAAGAGTTAATGATGCCTACTGGCCCACGGGGACCCACAGACTAAAGTAAAAACCTAGTGCCTCTCCACAGCAGGGACCCACCTGGGCTCACGATAACCACCCCACCTCCCAACCCATGGCATTCCCCCGGCCCCTGACTGAGATTTTACAAGAGGCCAGCCTGCCCGACAGAAGATCTAGTCCAAGATAGATCACCGCGCCCCCATCCAATTCCCTGCACCTTGGTTGTTAGGGGTGCTGCACAGGCAGTCCCGGGTCTGTCTGCCAACAGCTCACTCCCCCAGGAATCTCTCTAGAGTTTGCCACCGTCTTGTCTTACCTCTCCTCCCCAGCTTTTACAGCTAGATGAGGGCTGTTTTTCTTCAGACTGCATTTGAGCAAAGCCTGTATTTAATCTGCACTCCTAAAACTAAGCGCATTGTCACCAGATTGCCCTCAAGCCACAGGTCTGTGAAGCTCTGTCCTTCCTTCCCTTGATCCAAACCGCCCTCTCCCAAAACGATCTTCCACCCATTAGCAGATTCGTTCCCAGGATGGCTGAATGTATTCTTCTATCCCCACTTCTCTCCCTCCCCCTCTTCCTCCCACGTCACACACAACACAGACACAGACACGTGCTGGCTGTCCTTAAGTCCACCAGTCCTCAAGCTGACCAGGTGAGGGGACCACGGAAAGTCAAAAGAGCTGCAATCCATCACAAACCTCTGGCCCTTTCGGCAGAGTTTTTTCATGACCTTTTTTCTTCTCCCCATTCCCCAAGAATAAACCCAGTGTTTGGGGTTACAAACCACTCATGTCACCCTTATCTTAGTAGATAAAAATATTTAATAAACATGACCATACTATCAACACCACATCAAAAAAGAAAAGCAGCAGCGATTTCGTAACTGTTTTGATTTCATGATGTCAGATGTTTATTGGTTTTAAAAAGCTAAACCCAAATAAATTCTACAGCTTTGGGCTGGTTAATGTGTTTTAAAGTTCCTTTTGATATGTCAGGTTCTTGTCTGTCTCGTTGTCTACTTGAAGTTTCTTGGTTTAAAGACACCTGGCTCTTAGCAGGCATGGTGGAGCTTTTACAGACTGTTCTGGTGGTGGAGCTTAACATGGCAGGATCCTGGGATTTGATGGCAGACATCCTTGATTATCTTTATACTACAAGGCATCAAGTAATCCGAATATTCTGTTATAGATTTCTACAGATTACAAACATCTAGAAATATAGTGCTCTGAATTCCAAAGGCTCTTTTCCACCCCAAAAGAAATATTTCAGCTAATTTCCCATCCCAATCAACCTTTCTGTCCAGTAAGTTCTTCGTTGTAAATTTTCAGGCAATGAATTTTCTTTCCTTTTGTTTTCAATTAACTTTCAATATTTGAAGGGCGCACCCAGGAAGTTTAAAAAAAAAATTCCAGATTGTACTTCCAGGAGACATCCAGGAGAGGGAGACATTTCCCCTAATATAATCCTCCCTAAACGAGTTGAATGGCTTCAGGTTTGTTTTTGACCACGCGAATGGCCCCACTAATGTTGCCTCTACTTTCCCCTTTGCATGCGGGGATCGCGTTCTCGGCGCTTCTAACCTCTGCCGACCCATCTTCGGCGCCAGTCCCACCGCTGTCCCTCACTCAGGCCACCTGGAATAGCGACTACATAAGGACAGCCCCGTCTGACAGACCCTGTTCCCCCACCCTCCCATCCCATCCCGCCTCTTTGAGCGAAAACTACCGCAACAGAAAGCGGCTTCACCAGGGAGGCAGAAGGCCCATTGAGTGGAGCAGGCAAGAACCAAGCCCGGCATCCCTAGTACTAACTAGCGGACCCGGGCAGCACACCACACAAAGGGGTCTCGGGTGGGAGCGGCTGCCTCCGGGGCGCACGCGCCGGGCGCCCAGGGGCACAGGTGCGTGGGCGCACGTGTGCGGGACCCGCTGCGGCCTGGCATGGGGATCTTGGGGTCAGCTGCTCCCCCTCCCCCACGTCCGCACAGCTCCCCATTCTGGGCGAACAAGGCTCCGCCCCGCAAGCCACGGGTGCGAAACGGGGATGGGGGGAGCGCGCGGAACAGGCGGAGACCCTCTCTCCATCCACTAACCCCTCGGGAAACCCGGCTGCAAAACGACCACTGCGGCTGGGGGACGTGCAGCCTGCCAGCTTCCCCACTTCGCCCGGAGCCCGCGGATCCGAGCCCACAGGAGCAAGGGGCGTCCCTACTTCCCCTGCGCGCCCAACTCGAGTTTCATCTCGGACAAGCAGCAAAGTCGAGGACAGAGGTGGGGCGCCGGGTTTGGGGGCGCTTGGCAGGGGCGCTCGGCCGCAGAGGGCTGCATCCTCGAGCCGGGATGGCGGGAAGGGGGCTGCACACCGCGGCTTTGCCTTTCTGTCTTTCTTTGCGCCCGCGGCCCTGCTCCCCGCCTCCCAGCCCTCTCGCCCGCCCCCCGCTCGCGCTTCCCCCTCCTCCACCATCCCCAGCGCCCCGCCTCCGTCGCCGCCGCGGGGTGCCTCGGGCGGCGGCGCGGAATCTGCATAATGACCGCCCCCCTCGCCAGCCATTGGCGCGGCCGCTGCCCGGCGCGGCCCCGGATTGGTGGTCCGCGCGCGGTGATGTGCCTGCGGGCCGCCGCCGGGGTCCCCAGCTGTGCGGGCGGCCGGCGCACAAGTTTGCCGAGCGCTCCCGGGCCGGCGGCTCCCGGACTCGCCCCGCGCCCCGCGCCCTGCGCCCCGCGCCGCCGCCGCCCTGCTCGCTCACGGGTCCTTCGCCGACACGGACTCGCACACCGCCCTGACGGACGGCCAGGGAAGAGCCAGGACAGTGCCGAGGAGGAAGCGGCCCCCTGACAGCTCCGCGTCGGGTCCCCGGGCGCGCGTCGGGCTCCGGCTCGCCGCCAGCCTCGCCCACCTTTCCCGCGGCCGACCGGCGGGCGATGCGGCGGCCGAGCCTGGCGGCCCAGAGAAGGAGGAGAGCGTCCCGGAGAGCCTAGAGCTTGCTTCTGCCCGCTTGGGAAAGGGGCGGGGAGGTGGCGCATGGCGTTGTGAGCGCCCCTCGCTCGGAGAGGCCACCCCGAGCAGGCTCTCCATGGCCGGGACGTACAGCTCCACTCTGAAGACGCTGGAGGACTTGACCTTGGACTCCGGGTATGGGGCCGGGGACTCGTGCCGCTCGCTCAGCCTCTCGTCCTCCAAGTCCAACTCGCAGGCGCTCAACTCCTCTGCGCCGCAGCACCGCGGGGCGGCCTGGTGGTGCTACTCCGGCTCCATGAACAGCCGCCACAACAGCTGGGACACGGTGAACACAGTGCTGCCCGAGGACCCCGAATTGGCCGACCTCTTCTCGCGCTGCCCGCGCCTGCCCGAACTGGAGGAGTTCCCCTGGACCGAGGGAGACGTAGCCCGGGTGCTCCGCAAAGGCGCCGGCGGCGGCCGGAGGCTGCCCGCGTTCTCGGCCGAGGCAGTGAGGCGCCTGGCGGGACTTCTCCGCCGGGCCCTCATCCGTGTGGCTCGTGAGGCGCAGCGGCTGAGCGTGCTGCACGCCAAGTGTACCCGCTTCGAGGTGCAGAGCGCCGTGCGCCTGGTGCACAGCTGGGCGCTGGCCGAGAGCTGCGCGCTGGCCGCCGTCAAGGCGCTGTCTCTGTACAGCATGAGCGCGGGCGACGGGCTGCGCCGGGGCAAGTCGGCGCGCTGCGGCCTCACCTTCTCGGTGGGCCGCTTCTTTCGCTGGATGGTGGACACCCGCATCTCCGTGCGTATTCACGAGTACGCAGCCATCTCGCTCACCGCGTGCATGGAGAACCTGGTGGAGGAGATCCGGGCCAGAGTAGCGGCCAGCCAGAGCCCCGACGGCGGAGGGGCAGGGGGCGGAGAGGTGTCCGCCGAGGTCCTGGAGATGGTCATCAACAATGACGCGGAGCTTTGGGGCGTCCTGCAGCCCTATGAGCATCTCATCTGTGGCAAGAACGCCAACGGTAAGTGCGCGAGCCGCGGGTCTTGGTCAGGTGGGAGAGAGACTCGTGCGTACACCCAGGTTTTGGGAGAAAGTGTTTGGTCGAGGATGGAGTTCACTGACCTAGCCCTTGCCAAAAGTTGTTTATGCGCCGCCGACTTTGGAAGGTAGAGTCCGGGTGGATGTCCACTCTGCCGCGCAGGAGTTTATTGCTTTCCTGGGAGGTGTCACGGATAAGATGAGAGTGAGCCTCTGGACCAAGGCATTTCTGAACATCGCCTGTAGTGGAGCTTCCTGCCCGGCCGCTTTTTGCCTTTCTGGATTTGGTCTCTGGTTGGCGGTTCCCCTCCCTCACCGCCCCGCAGTTTCCCAGGCGGGCAGACTATGGCTGTGCCCCTGGTCCAGTTTTGGCTGGGTAGCAGCAGCCCGAGGGCTGAGCCTGGGCAGAACGTGTGGTTCTCTGGCGAGAGGCACTAAATGAGATCCAGGAACAGGTGTTACACCTTGAGCATCTTCAGGTTAAAAGATGCCCAAAGTTGGCCTTCCGCTGGGAGATGAGAGCAGGGGATGATGGGGGCTTCTTAACTCTGGGTCCCCAAGAAATCAGAGCCTGGTGACTCTTATGATGTCCTCCTCCTAGAAAGGGAACCCTATGTTGGCCTGGTTTTCTGAGCTGTCATCAGCCAAGTGAGTAGTTGATTAAAACCCTCTGTTGCATAATTATGGATTTTGCTAAAAGGAACGATGACCTACTTAGTAAACCACATTGTGGGGAAGGAGTGAGAGGTGGGCAGCGTTGGGTGGCTACCCTTCTCCAAAGGTGCCACAACTTTTAAAAAATGCAAAGGGTGAGAGCAAAGCAGTGGAGCTTTGCTCTGGGAAAGCCAGGCTGTGGTGTGTACTTACCTGCCACTGGCCTTGGGACTCCAGTCCTGGGAGTCTGGAAAGGATTTAGAATTGCACTGTGCTTAAACATCCTGTGCTGTGATGGGGAGACCAGCTGGGAGGCAGCTTACAGTGGCACGTGAGCACGGAGTAGAGGAGTCCAGGCAGGCACTGGCAGGGGATGAAGGGGGCCAAGTTCTGTGTGGTTTGACATCACTGTCATAAGTAACATTTAAAACAGCGTGCGACGTGTCTGTCGCTATTGCTGGCACTTGATCCAATCACTCACAGCACAATGACAGCACCAGGGTTTGAACACAGGCAAGCCCCAGAGTTCAGTCTTCCAAGAGGAGGGAAACCATCCTGGTTGTTGCGTCCGGTTGCCAAGGCGGCTAGCAGATCTGCTGGGCGCTCGTGTTGGTCCAGCCTGGCCTCCTCTGGCATCCCCGGTTTATTGCTGACCCTGCCAAGGGAGATGCCTGGAATGGACAGGGACTCGCATCTTGCTGTGTCAGGTCTGTGACGTCAGAGCTGGGATCACTAACTCTAGGAGAGGAAGTGGTGGGCATGGGTATTTCCAGCCCACTGTCACAGCCCCAAGGGGGGAAATGTTCTGTACTTTTGCCCAAGAAGGGAGAGAGAGAGACCCAGGCTGACCTTAAAGAAGTAAAGGCTTCTTGGGAACAACTTGAAGCCCCAAAACTCTAAACTAAACTCGAGTAGAAGTGGAGGAAGCGGTGCCAGACGCATTAGAAGGGAACACACTTTCCAAGTGGAATGTGCAGTATATCGGAGAGAGGGGCTTCCTCTGCCCCCAGCATGTCTAGGCTGTACCGAACGGCTGCCTCTCTGTGGTACCCTGACAACCTCGAGCAGTCAGCAATTGCCAGGGAACAGGTGCCTTCAAGCACCTGCGGTTTACAAGCAAACGGCCGTTTCTGCTTTTAAGTCAGCAATCTCTTCGGATTTTTTTCTTTGATTTGACCTCTTCCCTACTGCTTAACCAGTCCTGCTTAAGCCCCAAGTAGCCAAGAGGGCAGGGTTCCACCCATGACACACATCTCCCTGAAGGCACAAAGCCCAGGCGTCTCCTGCACAGGTTCTGGTCTCCAGGGAACTCTCCTCCTTGTAAGCAAGGTGACGGATTGCTTCCACTTAGTTGCATAGATGCTCATTTTTTATACATGAAAGCTGGCGGGGGTGGCCTCCCTCACAATGATCAGGCTGATGGATTAAGTCTCATTGCACCAAGTGAAATGAGTGTTTAGTAGAGGCACAATGAATTACTTATGCTTGGAAGCTGGCTTCAGAAGGTAGCATGAACTACTATAGGAAAGCAGCAGAGAGCCCTAAGCCTTTGTCATATCGAAGTCACTCCAAGGCCGGCAAGGTTGGAGTGGACACAGCTGAAGACCAACAGGGAGAGTGCTAGTTAGTATTCTTGTCCCGCTGGTCTCCTCCTTAAATTACATATTTATTGTTGTTATGCCTGTTAATTATATAGCATGGGCACAGGCGTTTGACTCAGCGCTATGGGGCTGTTAAACTTTTAATGTCTTCCAACTGGAAATTTGAGCGCCATCATCCATCTATTCCTGTCCATTACTCAGAATGCTGGACCAATAAGGTTTGGCTCTGCTGGAGATGGATGATAAAAGTTGTGTAGTGTTTACCAAACACGACGGCGGCTTTGCAACCACTGGAGCTGTGCGGTGGGATTCATTCCCTGTAGAGGTCTCCGATGGTGGCAGGGCAGTGTCATGAAATGTTGAAATCCGCATGACTTCCTCCTAGGAGACAGGGAAATCACTTTAAAGGGGTTGGTATTTACAAACCTGGAGCTGGCCAAAAAGAACAGCCTCTCAGCCCCACCCATCCTGGATGCGGCTCAGGTGGCTCTTGGCATTTTTTTCTTGACCATTTTCTTTACTAAGCTTTCATGAGTGTTCCTGGCATCAGAAAAACAAACAAGCAAAAGACCTCTGCCGCTTGTAGGGTATACAGCAACTGACAGGACATTGGGGACAATACTCTCTCCCCAAGCAGCCTCCAGGAGGGTTGCTCTTATCTGTGTAACAAAGAGCACAGGTTTAGAATCGTCACCAGGTTTGGAAGCGCACCTCTGTTGCTTATCGGAGTGGCCGGGGACAAATCTCTTAATCCTTCTTAGCCTCTGTTCTGCCATCTGTAACATGGGAGATCATAAACATAGTTTTGTATGAGCTATATGTGAGATTGTGGATGTAAAGATGTTAGCACATTGTAAGTGTGCGATGCCTAGCAGCAATGCATTCAGCCACTATTTATCCGCTGAACTGTGCTTGTGGGTGAAGTGGGGGATGGAGGGGCACAGTCCTCCTCCTGTGAAATTTCACATCCAGGGAAGGAAGCAAGAAGCAGTAAACAAAGGCCGCAGATAAAGGTTTGCTCTCAGTAGTATTTCAGAAAGACAACAGGATAATGAGATCGTGTGACTGGGGTCATTGAAATCACCGCATAGGAAGACCTCTCTGTCATTACTGGCAGCCAGTCATAGCAACCCGGTCATGACCCAAGGACCTTTAAGCCAGAAAAAACGGTGACTCAGGGCTTTTCTGAATTATTCAGTTGTTTACCATCAGGAGCCAAGTTTGGCTGTCACCTGCCACCAAGAAGTGTCAGGGCTGTCTCCTAGGCAGGAAGACTTCACCCACGGTCTCAGAACTTGCCTAGGGAGAAGATGGTAGGATGGTTTTCTGCTGAGATGATCAGCTGCAGGCAGGAGAGTTCATTGAGCTGCTGGTTGCTGCCGAGTCAGCTTTCACACCTGGAGAATCTGAGGGAAGAAGCACCTTCCCTTTGACTCTTCTGTTGAAGCCGAGGGATCTGCGAAAACTGAGACAAATCAAACTTTGGAAACAGAAACTTACATTTTTACCTCTAGCTCCACCCCACTGGTGTCCCTGAGAAATGCAAACCTGGCCCTAGGCAGTTGGAAGACCTAGGTGGAGCTGTCCTGCCTCCTCCAGGAAGCCCCATCTGCTGCACCCGCCCTGTTGCCTGAGGCTTCCACAGCCCCAGGGGCACATGCGCCCACCACCCTGCTTGTGTCTGTCTGTCCATCAGATAGATGGTGAGCTCACCAGCATCCTGCCGGCTGATGAGCCTCTTGTGGTATGTGACACACACCTGCTGCCCTACCTTTGTGGTCAGGCACCCCATCACAGAACATGCTCCATTCTAACATTGCCATTTGAAAATGTTTCTTTGACATTGCAGAAGAACATTCCCCCATTTCTATGAAAACAAAAGATTCTAACTTGTTCTTGATGAAGAAGGGCAACATTCTCTAAAGGATTGGTTGATCGATTGAAGCACAAAGTTACAGAGAGAAAGAGATCTTTCTTCTGTTGGCTCATTCCCCAGATGTCCACAGCGAGTTGGGGAGGGCTGGGCCAGGCTAGACCACACTGGGAACCTGGCCCTCTAGCCACATGGGCAGCAGGGGTGCAAGCACTAGAGCCTCACGATGTTGCCTCCCAGTGTGTGCATTACCAGGAAGCGGGGCAGAAGCAGAGTAGGACTTGATCCCCAATGTAGAATGGGTATAATCTCCATGGCAACTCAACCTGCCATGCACAGTACCAGGACATCATTAAAAAATTTCACAACCTAATTTCTAGCAGGGTTCCCAAGGTCATCTGTAAGGAGTAAAATGCCTGTTGGGGACTTTCTGCTTAGGTGGAAGTCTTCCATGTGGGATCCTCACTCAGAAAGAGTGCTAAGCAGGTGTCTGATAGGCAGCAGTCAATCAACAGGACTTAGTTGAAAGTTTCCTTAAGATCAGCAGTACCAGTCCCCAACCCCCCAGCCCCAGGCAATAGCACTGGCCCAGGGGCAATCTTGGTTGGTAGCCATTACTTAGAAAAGCTTGTCTCTGTATCCATTCTGCCTGCTTCCATTTTGAGAAGGGAACTCAGGAAATTCAGGGTCGGGGTGTTCCGGGGAGGCATGGGCCACAGCATGGCCAGGACTCTGCTGCTTGTCCCCTACTGTCCTTGCGCCCTCAGTACTTTCCCTAAACCGAGGTGGGACACTGGCCCCTTTTTCTGTGCTTCTACAGCTGCAATAATAGCCTGACTTTCACCAACAATCCTT